CAGCTTGTAGCGCCCCGCTCGAGGCATCGCCAGTCTACAGCTCGGGAAGGAAGCGCGGACCTCTCATCGCTGGGGCTGGCCCTGCAGGCGGCGGTGTCGTTTCTCCCTCTCGCATTCGCGTCGTGAAGCTGGCTAGCGCTCTCCACTCAGCGTGCTCATCTGGCGTAACGGCCCAGCCCTGTCCGGTGGGGGGACCCATGGGCAATCTCGCCGTCTTGGATACACTCGATACCGAACTCGCAGCTTCTGATGAACTTCTGGACGAGACAGACGAGCACTCAACCAAATCGGACATGAACTATAACAAGCGGGCGTCGACCGCAACGTTGGCGCACCGTGCACGGCATCACCCAGAAAGTCCTCTCGGAACATGCGCAGGCCCTCGTTGCTGCGCTCACGGAGGTGATGAGGATGATCGACCAACTGGTCGTACGCCCTGAGCTCTCAGGAATGACTGGCAAGGTCCAGGCCCTCAATAAAATGAATGAAGGCGCAGTGCAAGCGTTTTCGGTCAATGCTCTGCCACAAAGAAGGTCGGCACCAAGCACGCCGGAAACGCGAGCCCGTGTGAGCGCACTTTGTGAACTGTTGGCAGCCGCATCCCAGAGGAGCACGAGCGGCGAACGTATCCATGGCCACGCCCTCGCGATCTGAACTTTGGGGCTCGATCCTGTGGATACGCGGTCGCACGGATACGTTCAGCGCGCGGCATTCACAAAAAACGCTCCGTATCCACGGGGTCGCGGCCCAGGGGCCTGGCCCGCGAGGCCGTGCGGATATGGTTCCCGCCCACGGCGCAGGGGGAGAAGGAAGAGGCCGGGAGGCGGAGCAGGAGCAAGGCAGAGACGCGGAGGGGGTCCTTTTGGTCTCCGCACGGGGCCATCAGTCCCCACCCCGCCAACCCCGCCTTGCGTCGGCGGACTGCTGGGGCCGCCCCAGTCTGGAACTCAGCTGCCCCAATGAGGAGGAGGAGGAGGAGGAAGAGGAGGAGGAGAAGAGAGGAGGAGGAGGAGGAGGAGGAGGAGGAGCAGGAGGAGGAGCGTGTTGACACTACCACGAAGCTCAAAACGTACCCCGAAGACGTACGCTCGGCGCGATGTGTTCGCCAACGCGTGGGCCAACACTCTGAGCCGACACACAGCGCGTTAACACCGACGTTTTGGACATGGCACGTGTTGCGTTTCAACACTGGCGTATCAGGGCAGCACAGGTTTGGAATTGCAAGGCCTGGCCCGACGCCTGCTGGGCATCGTCTTGGTCTTCTTCGGCCGCCTGGGTCGGGCCCTCCGTCGCCGCTGCTCCCGCCCATGGCGGCCTCCCTGCAGGAGAAGTGTAGCCTCTCTCTGACTGGCCTGGGTCCTGCCGGTCAAGAGCGATCGAGTGCCGCGGAAGAGGAGGGGGAGAGGGAGGAGAGAGGGGGCGGGAGGGGGGAAGAGGGGGGCGGGGCAGCTCGTCGCAAAAAAACAAGATGGGAAGATTGAGCAGAGACCGACCGTCCAGGCATTCCTATAGGCCTACCACGAAGTGTTCTTAGAACCCAAACATGTTCCAATAACAAAAACAATGTTCTTATAACATAAACACGATGAGACAAAACGAGGCAGACTCCGCCAGAAACATGTCCTTAGAACAGTTCGTGGACACCGCAAAAGGTCTTACAATAGTGTTGGGTAGGGCTATAGGCGAGCCACGACGCGTCGCCACTGCTTGAGTAGGGGAGCAAAAAGTGGCATACATATAACAACTCGGAGGTCCGCGCGGATTTCTCGGATCGGCGCTTGGGCTATTGAGAGGAGGAAGGGGGGGGCCATGGGGGGCCTCGAAGCTGGCACCTCCGCCGGCCACGGCCACGAGACGCCGTGCCCTCCGCGCGCGCTGCGCGAGCGCCCGCACATCGCGGGGCGAGGCAGGGAGCACGGGCACCGCAGGGTCGGCCCCCGCTCGCCGCGCGCGCTCGCCGGGGCCTGGCCTGGCGGGTTAGCGGGGAGCTGCCGCCCGGCTGCTCGAGCGGCGAGCGGGTCCCTGCCCACGCCCTCCTCGCCGTCGCTCGGACGCCCATTTCCCGTGCATTGGTCGGCTTCGTGCGTGCTTTTTGCTGCTCGATGGTCCAGGAGGGTCCTCGATGGCTCCCGCCGGGAAAACTGCACGCGTCCGAGCGATGCCAAGCCTCGAGGTCTGGATCACGGAGCGTGCTCTCGCGGCGGTCGCACAGAGGCGTCCTGCGCGGGGCATCCGCGCAGAGACGCCCCGTGGCAGCGGGGTCGCGGCCCAGGGGCCCAGCCCCCGGGGCCGCGGATGCAGATGTGTGTTGCCGTCCACGACAACTCGGGTTGCAGAGCGTTCTCGTGGGCTTTCGCGGCTGCCCAGCCCCAGCCCGTCCCGAGTGCTCGGGGGCCTGGAAAGTGGCACCAACACCAACACGGGGGGCTGTCTAAACTGGGGGGGGCGATCCTGGAGTTTAGTGCTGGGGGCCTGAGAAGCCCGAGTGGTACCACCATCTCCGATATCAGGACCATATCCTTCGGTGGAGATAATCGGCGGTGGACGAACCTCCCTTTAGCAAACCTCCCCTTAGTGAAAACGGCCTGGGACCGAAACCAACGGACCTGGACCCGCAAAAACGACGGCCGTGGCGCCCTCTCGCGAACCGAAAACGGCCAATCGACGTTGCAGGGTAGGAGGTCTATCCACCTGCGAGATAACCGCCGAGACTGGTGCCGACCCCTAGGCCTCTGGTGGCAGGGAACGGGGGGCTGCCGTCCAACTCGGGTTGCGAAGCGTCCCCGTGGGCATTCGCTGCTCTCCAGCCTCCGCCCGACCTGGCTGGAGTCGGTCTTGAGAGCGGACGACGAAAACCAGTTTATCTGCCCCCAACCGCCGCATGCAATTGACACTGATAGTGTGCCCCGAGGAGTGTGTGGCGTTGACACCATGAAAACAGGTCCCAGGCCCCCACCCTCGCGGCTGAGGAGGAGGAGGAGGAGGAGGAGGAGGAGGAGGAGGAGGAGGAAAAGGAGGGGGAAAAGGAGGGGGGAAAGGAGGGGGAGGAGGAGGGGGAGGAGGAGGAGGAGGAGGAGGAAGAGGAGGAAGAGGAGGAGGAGGAGGAGGAGGAGGAGGAGGAGGAGGAGGAGGACCCGAGCCACCGCCAGGGACGGCAGCAAAACTGAGAGACGGTCGGCAACCTTGCCGCAGGGGACCGCCCTCGCCCCCTCCTGTGCTCGCAAGCTCTCCAGAGGGGGCCCTTGGCTCGGCCGGGGGAGCCCGTGCCCCCCCAGGGCCCGCTGCTTCGGCAGAACGAGATGGGCTGCCTTCGGAAAAAGGCGGGGGGGCTCTCAGAGCCCACCCGGCTGCCAAGAAGCCTCCTCAGAATAGACGGGAAACAAAACGGCCGAATCATGAACTTTCGACGGTCCGCGTGCGGAGCGCGCCAACAGAACAAAACGGCCTACGCATCAACTTTCGGAAACAGAACGGCCTGAGCAGAAATCTGCGCTGGGCCCCCATCTCTGGCGCGCGGAGCGCGCCAAGGACTGCGCGGGAGGCGCCGCCAGGGGGGTCCAGCACAGATCCAAGAAATCCGCGCGCACCGACCGCGCGAAATCCGCGGAATGCTGTATTTTCTTCTTCGCCAGCAGCCTCCGGCACCTCTCTGAGACGGCCCCCGCCTCCTCAGGAGCCACCCGCCCCCTGTTGGCGGCACGGGGGAGGGAAGACGGCTTCTCAGAAGGAGGTCGCTTCTTAGAAGGCGTGGGCCTTTCAGTAGGAGCTCGACCACAAGATACCTGCCACAAGAAACCAGACCCAGAGGCCCCAGGGCGTCCATTGACTGTTGGTGTGGGAACGTCACGCCCCTTCCGTAGCAAATTCCATCGACACCCAAGGAACCCAGGCACCCTGGAGGCAGGCAGGGTGCTCCTCGGCGTGGGCTCCCGCTGCCTTCTGAGAAGCAGGGGTGCTTCGAAGCACTTGCCCCCGCGCGCCACCACGGGTGCGCGCCACCGAGAGCGCCGCCGCGTGCTCGGGCGGGCGCTGGGGGGCGTGGTGCTGGGAAGAGGGAGGGGAGGAGGAGGAGGAGGAGGAGGAGGAGGAGGAGGAGGAGGAGGAGGAGGAGGAGGAGCGCAAGAGCGAGGCAGGTGCCCCCCTCGGCGCGGTCGCTGCTCCTCGGAGAGCGCCGCCCCCGCGGCGCGCCACCCCCCCCCCGCTGCGCGCCACCGCCGCGGGCGGCGGAGAGAGCGGCAGTGCTCTCCGACGGCCTGCAGTGGCGCCGAGCGGAGACGACCCGAAGCCACGGCCACGACGCGAGGCTTCCTCGGCACGGCCTTCGGCCTCGGGGGGCCCGGGCCCCCCTCGCGCCGAACGCACGGCCACTCCGCGAGGCTCTCTCGGTGCAGCTTTCGGCCTCGGGGGGCCCAGGGCCCCCTCGCGCCGAACGCACGGCCACGACGGGAGGTTTTCGGCAGCGGTCGGCCTCCGGGGGCCCAGGCTGGTCCCCAGGGGCCGTCAAGACACGGCGCTGGATGGAAAGCCAGTCCGAAATGACGTCGGGAGTCTGGGGGGAGGGGACTGGGCATGATCAGTCAGCACCAAATCCACAAGTCCGATCGGATCGGAACGGGCTGAATCGGCACGGAGTTGGGATCGCATCGGATGCGCCAGGATGTGCAACAGCGCCGTGCGAGCATCGTCTCGGGCCGCATCAGACCGCCGAGAAGCGGAATTGGATCGGATCCACCCAGGTGAAGTTGACGTCGCATCAGATCGATCTAACCGAAATGGGCCCTGGAGAGATAGGGGGTGGCAGTGACAGAGGAACAGAGATCCGCGCGCCAGGGAGAGGGGGCCCAGCGTCGATGCAAGAAATCCGCACGGAGCTTCGAAGGTTTATGCGTATGCTTTTTCTCTCCTTCGAAGTGAACCGAACGACAGCCCGTCGCCGAATGGAGGAGCTGCCCTCCGAACCGAGCCCTTCCAGATGGCAGATCGTGGGTGCAGGCTCGCGCCTCCGCAGCGCCCGCGCGCTTGTCGTGGCCGAAGATCTCCGAGTCCAGCTGGGAGGACTCCTCCAGGAGGGCGTGGTTCTTGGCCTCGCTCACGAGCGGCGTACACACCATACCCGTATCCGCGCCCTCGCTGTCTGGACTCCGGGGCGCGATCCGCGGATACGCGCTCGCACGGATACGGTCCGCGGCCCGCACAGGGCGTCCGCGGCAAACGCCCCTGTACCCACCGGGTCGCGGCCCAGGGGCCGGGCCCGTGAGGCCACGGATGCGACTATCTGCTTGCCCACGACGCTCGTCGGCAAGCCCATGCCTAGGGTGGGATGCACAGAGGGCGGGCCTCCTCAGGAGGCTCGGAAAGCGTCTGGCCTTCCGAGAAGTCTCCTGAGCCTCCTCCGACCACAGAGGCGGCTTCCTCGGAGGCTGGAGGGTTGTGGGTGCCATGAAAATCAACATTCGAACAATCCTATCATTGAATTAAGGATGTGTTTAAACTGTGTAAAACATGTTCTAAAAATGTTCCAACATGTTTTTTAAACATATTTTTAACCTAGTTGAACCATCGTTTAGACATCTGGAAATTATTTGGCAACACGCTTCCTCTCCATTCATCGACTTCCACAACTGGAGGGCTCCTGAGAAGCTCCGCCGCCTTCCGAGAAGGCCTGTCCCCCTCTCGCTTCCCCTGGGCGCGCCGCCGATCTGAGAACCAAAAGAATAAACGCCCGCCGCGGAGATCCTGGACTGGCCCAGCACCCCCCTGGCGGCACCTCCAGCGCCGCCCTTGGCGCGCTCCGCCCGCCAGGGGTCCAGCGCCGATCCAAGACACGCGGCCGGACCTCCGACAATTTACAGTCATGCCGTCTTCTCTTCTGCGAGTCTGGGGAGGCGAAACTGCAAACCTCAGATCTGGGCGCCGTGGATGACCCTGTTCGTCCCGCGTCTGGCCCTCCCGGGCCGTTACGGACGGCTCCGTGTCGAGAACTCCCGTCGCATTCTTGCGTTCTTGGTCACCACTTCGGATATCTCTAGGAAGGCGCCGACACCGATACCGCTCCCCCTCGGATCTATACCACGCTTTGACCAGGATGCCGATGCGAACCCCGCCGTGGCGATGGGGGCCACCTGCCCAGAAGGCCCCATAAGGGCGAAAACGATGGAGAGACATCGGGATTATAGCCATGGCCCCCCTCGTTCCGACCCCAACTCCGTTCAGCGTGGCTTCCCGGACCATTCCTGTGGCTCGTCCTGGCCGGCATGCTGTCCCAAACGGACTTCCTGCGGTCATCGCGGCACGGTCCCCCAGAAGGAGGAGGATGAGGAGGAGGATGAGGAGGAAGAGGAGGGGGGGATGGGGGAAAAAGAAGGCCCCAACCGACAAAACGGGTTGTGCTCGAGATGCCGATGCCTCTCGCCTGCGCTGTCAACCGTCCGCCTCGCCCGCCCTGCGTACCGCGTCTCCGCCTGGCCCCCGAGGCCCCCAGAGAGTCCAATGACGACATACAGTCGGACTTGATTGGAGAGGACACGCGAGAGGACACAAGAGCCTTCCGAGGGCCAAGCTGCCACAGAAATGCAGGAGGCATGGGTCGCAAGACACAGGACACGAGGGTACCCTTGATCTGGCAGGGTCGACCTACTAATCCGGGCCGCCTGTAATGAACGGGTGGTATAAAGAAGGTGTGAATTACAGGAGGAGCTCGACCACAAAAAACCTGCGACAAGACACCCAACCCTCAGACCCCAGGACGTCCCTTGGTAAATGGCGGGGAAGTCACGCTTTCCATTGCAAAACCAGCAAAACCCAAGACACCCAGGGCACCCTGGAGGCAGGCAGGGTGTTTGTGGGCATGGGCTTCCACTGTAAAGGCGTAACTAACAGACAACCCCACCGGCGACGTGCCACGGCGTCAGCCGTCCAAGCGTCACGCCGTCCACACACGTCCAGAGCCGACACCAAGAGCATACGCCAAGAACAGGCAACACGAATAGACACTGACATCTGACACTGAGACCATACATCTCATACTTCAAAAGTAGAGACGCCGTGAATATCAACCACCTAGAAGAGTCAAAACTACCATACACCACTACTGTGTACCAACAAGGGGCATTAAGAACTGACACCCTAAACAGACGCCAAAGGCGAACATAATGAACATGCATGCGGGAAAGACGGCAAGGACACACATCCAGAAACGACACCAATAGTATACACAACACCTAGGCACCCACAACATGTATCAACAACACTACCATGAAAAACGTGAACAACATCAACCGATCATGGACACAACTGTGACAAGAACAACATCACCCGCACGCGTCTACGACCCGCACACATCATGCATCACGAGAACATGCGTTTCGCGCGTGTATCAAGAAACAACCCAAACTTCCACCAACCATGTGCATTATAGACAGGCGTCCAGCACGTACATTAACACAACGGCAAACAACGTCACCAATAACCAACAGAGTATCATACATCAACCAACTGCATCGACGAGGTAAACCAGCACCGCAAGCCAATGCCATAGATGAGATGCAGCCAGCATCAACAACCAGCATTGATGATGACCAACAGTGATCCTACATTGCACACTGAACAGCACACGAACATCGAAAACTGCGACCAAAGCACAGAGGCCAAGAGCATACCTCTACAACATCTAAGAATCGCATCCATGAACGTATATGGAATGACCTGCGCCAGGAACAAACACCAACTACCAAGTTTACAACAGCCATAGCATTCACAAGCAACACACGTTGCACCAACGCATCAATAACATCCACAATCACCATACACTAGCATAGACACACACACACTTGCACAACGAGACTACACACACACTTACGCATCAAGACCACGCATGCCCCAGCAAGGCACACCAACACCATACACCAAGAACAGACAACAATGTCGGCACACACCAGAGGCCCTCAAGATCGCCAACGCACGCTCGCAGGAGGAGGAGGGGGAGCAGGAGCAGGAGGAGGAGGGGGAGGGAGGAGGGGGGAGGGGGGAGGGGGGAGGGGGGAGGAGGAGGGGGAGGATGATGATGATGATGATGATGATGATGATGATGAGGAGGAGGAGGAGGAGGAGGAGGAGGAGGAGGAGGAGGAGGTGCGGAGGGGGAGGAGGGAGACCTACACCGCTGGGACTCCTCGCTAGGCATCGCCCGATCTCACACCTCGTCGTCTTCTGCCCCTCGGATGCCCCCCCCCCTGCCCCTCCTGGCGCACGCGCGGCCGCCGCCGCGCCCGACGCACCCACCGAAGCGCGGGGGGCAGCCGATGACGTATGGCGGGTGAACCACGAGATGCCGCTACGGCTACAGTCAACCAGTATAGTAAGGATGCGCGATAAGGATACAAGGGCCTTGGACGCCCACTTCGAAGCTTTTCGAGCGGGGCGCGGCCAGCGAAGCCGGCGAAGGATGGACCGAGGAGGCAGGGAGGCAAGGGTACCCTTGGGAAGGTTGCCCATCCGTACTATGCGGGTTGACTGTACTCCCTGGACCTCTCCTGGAGTGCGTTCTGACCAGAATGTCGAGGCGAGTCCGGCGGCAGCGACGGGGGCCGCCGAGGAGGAGGAGGAGCAGGAGCAGGAGGAGGAGGAGGAGGAGGAGGAGGAGGAGGAGGAGGAGGAGGAGGAGGAGGAGGAGGAGGAGGGGGGAGGAGGCGGAGGAGGAGGAGGAGGAGGTGGAGGAGGCCCCCAAAGAGGCGAAAGCGAAGGAAGGGCAACGGTATGGGTCCTGTTGCCTCCTCCAGGAGAAGGAGGCGGGCGGGCGGGCCTGCTCGCTTGTGACCTCCAGTCCGCAGACTTTGAGCTCCTGGGGGCAGGCACAGCGTCGCTTCATGGGGGGCCAATAAATGGAAGGGGGGGGTTAGGAGGCAACTACTGGGAAGCCTTCGTCGGAAGGATTACGGAAAATTGAACCCCATTGGGGGGCTGCTACGCCGGAGTGGGCCTCGGAGTGAGCCGGATTAAACGGGATTGAGGCAGATTCAGCGGGATTAAGCAGGATTTCGGACCAGGACAAAATCAAAATGCGACCTCCCAGGAGTTGCATCCGAAGTGGGGGCGGGACGAAAGGTGCATTTCTCGGGCCCTACACGCCCCCTGTGGGCCCCCCCCCACCATCCTTGCCAAAAGACAATGGAAGGTACACTTTGGGGGAAAGTCTAGAGTCATGTTCGTGAGGCCCGCGAGCACTTTGTGGTGTTTGTGACAAGGACGGCGGGGGTGTCAGCATATTCCCTGCTGTGCGCAGGGCGACCATCCCTTATAACAAACAATACAACATACACCTCGCGACTAAATCTGGATCATCCGCGGCCATCCCGCAATCACTGTCAAGCGGTTTTTGACAGGGGCGGCGGGGGAGGTGGCGCGTGGCCTGCTGTGGGCAGGCCCACCAGACACAATGATGGACATGTTTCCCGATGTGTGCTGTCACGTGCGCAGGCGCACCTGACGCACTCTGCACGTGCCCCGAACGCGGCGCACCCGACGCGGCTGGAGTATGCGGCACACCTGGCGCACTCGGAGCACGTGGCGCGTCTGGCGTACCAAGCGTGCCTGGCACGCTCGGGCCCCAGGTGTGCCTGGCTCGCGTGGCGCCCCTGGCACGCGTGGCGCACCTCACCCAAGCGTCGCGCACCTGGGGTCGGCTTCGGTTCCCAATAGCTGCCCATCCAAAGACGACCGCTGAACATGCTCAGGCTCGGGTGTTACTTGTGTGTAGGGAGGGTGGGTGGGAGTGAGCAGGTCGGCTCGCGGGCGGGCGGGTTGCTTGACCCCTCCCCCGACCCCCTCCCCCTGGACGGGGCGTTCCGCGACGCGTTGGGGCGTCAAAGATGGCCCAAGGTGGCTCCAAGAGGGCCTCAGGGAACTCAAGACAACCTCAAAGATGGTTCACGATAGCGCAGGGTTGCTCAATAGCTCCGATAGGCCCAAAGGCCGCCGCAAGAAGGCTCCAAGTGGCCAACGCGCTCCCCAAGGATGCCCCGAAGAAACTAAAGTCCTTCCAAAAACGCAAGACAATCAATGTGTGTGTTGCCTTCTCGCCGTGTCGCTTCCGATGGCCGCCCGATGCCTTAATACAATTCCAAACGGGCCCATGAGGGCCCCAAGAGAGCCCCAAGACGGCCTCAAGAGCGCCCAAGAGCGCCCCAAGATCGCCTCACGACGGGCCCAAGAGTTGATTGTTGGGGCTCCCGAGAGGGGGGGCGCTAATTAAGGACCCCCCCTTCTTTGATCGATCTCTTTCAAGATGGCCCCAAGAGCGCCCCTAAAGCTCCCAAGAGCGCACCCCCAAGAGGCCCACAAAAAGCTTCAAGAGGATCCCCGAGGCACCCAAGATGCCCGCAAGCCGCTCCAAGAGCCCCCCCGGGGCACCCAAAACGACCAAGAGCCCCCCCAGGACCGCCAAGAGACCCCCAATACGTCCTCAGAGGCCACCAAGAAGCGCCCAAGCGATATCCCAAGAGGCTCCGAGGGGCATCCAAGAAAACGCTGGCCCTGTTGCTCACCCTCCTCCTCCTGCTCCTCCTTCCTCCTACTCCTTCTCTTCCTCCTCCTCCTCCTCTGCCTCCTCCTCCTCAACCTCCACCTCCACCTACACCTCCTCCTCCTCCTCCTCCTCCTCCTCCTCCTCCTCCTCCTCCCTCCTCCTCCTCCTCCTCCTCCTCCTCCTCCCCCTCCCCCTCCTCCTCCTCCTCCTCACCCTCCTCCTCCTCCTCCTCCTCCTCCTCCGCCTCCTCCGCCTCCTCCTCCTCCTCCTCCTCCTCCTCCTCCTCCTCCTCCTCCTCTTCCTCCTCCTCTCTCTCCTCCCACTCCTCCTCCTCCACCTCCTCCTCCTCATCATCATCATTATCACCACCACAACAGCCATCATCATAACCATCACCATCACCATCACCACCACCACCATCGTCATCAGCATTATCATCATCATCATCATCATCATCATCAGCAGCATCATCATCATCATCATGATCCTGATCATCATCATCACCATCATCATCATCGCCATAATTATCACCATCACCATCACCATCACCATCACCATCACCATCACCATCACCATCATCACCACCACCATCATCATCATCATCCTCCTCATCATCATCCTCATCTTCATCCCCGTCCTCATCCACACCCTCATCCTCATCCTCATCCTCATTATCATCTTCATCCTCATACTAATCGTTACTATCCCCACTCCCCCCTCGATCCATCCAGCCTCCTTCTTCCCCGACTCCCCCTTCGCACGGTTCGGCCGTCCACCTCTTTGCTCCCGCACTTCCCTGATCACCTCAACTCGCCTGGACATCGTTTCTGAATGGGCTGGTGGGTAGATCTCTTGATCGCAAGCGCACCGGGAGACGCCGGACGCCGCAAAATGTCGCAGCAAGCGGGCTACGAGCGAATTGCGCACCAGGAGAAGGGAGAGAGGCAACGAGAAGACAGCGGAGGGAAGAACTAACAAGAGGCAGGCCTCGCTGCCGCTCAAAAGGCTGGTGGGGATTTTTTTTTGTCAACAGGCTCGCGAGGCGGGTCGAAAACCGTCCGAACACTAGTCGGGCCGCGGCTAGGCAGCAGGACAAAAAATGCAACCGAAGCCAGCGAGCGGGCAGCCACTCAGAAGGAGTGACTGGTGGGAATATTTTGTTTTGGGTCGCGGCCGCGAGCGAAGAGCGCAGGCGGCAAAGACGTCGTCCAGGCCTACGGGCAAACCGAATTAGCTGCAGGGCGCAACACAGACCGGCCGGGCCAGCTCACAAGGCGGCCGCTGGGGCAGCAGGGCGAAGGCTGGCTGGATGATCGGCACCCAGGGAAGCTCGAGCATCGTGCACCCCAGGGCAAAATGTCAGGGAATTCGGTGTTACGCGCTGCGGCGTCCGACCACACGGATGGAGGTGCGGAAGCAGGTGAATGACCTGCACTTGCGCCCCTCTCGAACAGGGTGATGGATAAAGGCGAGGTAAACGATGGTCGAGTCGCCAGGGGGGCGCCAAGGGCAAAGACCGACTGGTGGGGATACTTTTTCGGTCGCGGCCGCGAGACAAAGGTCAGGCGGCGAAAAGCAAAGTCCGGGGCACGAACGAGGCGAATCAGCTACAACAGGCACAGGCCGGCCGGCCCGCTCACAAAGCAGCCGCGAAGCTGAAAGGGAGCTGACGGCAGGGGTATCCTGACAGCTCGAGCACGCGCACAGACAAAATGTCATGGAATTCGGAGCCTCCACAGTTTGAGACGTGAACCAGGATAACCAAAGCCCGTCAATCTGAGTGGGGGCACGACCCACTCAGAAGAAACGAGAACCAGGATGGTAAAGTCCTTGTGCTGAGTGGGAGCAAATGGGAGGCCATTGGAGTGAGTCGCCAGTGGGGAGCCACATTCCAAACGCCCTGACGCCTTGAGCTAGCCAGATAGGCTGAACTGTCGTGAGCCGTGGTGCAACGCAACTGGGGCAAGCTGAAGGTGAGCCTGGGATGCTGTACCTGCTGCGGAAGGCTGAACCATTCCGGAACGAAGTCAACACCTACTGGTGGGGATATTTTTTTGTCGGCGGCTCCAAGGCAACGGACAGGGAGCGGAAGCGATTGGTGGGGATATTGTTTTTCTGATATGCGGCCCCAAGGAAGAGTCCAGAGGGCGGGTCAATCGGGCTGGATGGGGTACAGAGCCAGATAATTTGCGAAAGCGGCCGTCGCTGTCGACAGCCGACCGCACACGCAATCATGCCGAGCAAATTCGAGGAGACGCATCTTAGCGTCGACCGGGGGGGACGGGCGCGGGAAGAGAGCGACCCAGAGGGCGGGTCAAACGGGCTGACTGGGGCACAGAGCCAGATACTTTGCGAACCCAGCTGACACTGTCGACAGCCGACCGCACATGCAAGCATGCCGAGCAAATCCAAGGAAAACCAACGACGAGCAGTGGGGCGTCGCAAAGTGGCGCCAGCACCCGACAGACCGGACGGCGAAGGGCAGGGCGACAGGGGGGAAAACGGGGGGGGGAGGGAGAGGGACAGGGAGGAAGAAAGAGCCTCACTCACGGAGCACCACGTGCTCGAGGGCAGGTCGTCACTGAACCAAGCGACGGTAGACTTGGCGTGAGTCCCGAGTGGCAACTTCCATGCGTCCATGGACGGGGGGGACGTCGCGTGGGAACCACGTCACTACCCACCAGCGTTCAGAGGCCCCGCCTGGGGGGGACTGCGGGCAGGTGTGCACCACCTGAACATCGCAGAAGGGCAGGGCGTCGATGGCGTCCGCGAGCGACAAATCCTACCAGAGAAAAAAGCCGATGTCGCTGGCAAAGACGGGAGCCGGAGAACGCCTGCCAAGAGGAAGCACGGCCCCGCCAAAGGATGCGCACTGGTGGGAATACGCGAAGCGTCTAGAACTTAATGCATCTTGCCGAAGGTCTCTGGGGGTCTCCAGAGGTATGCAGGGGAGTCTAAACAGGGTCAACCAGGTCCAAAGCCTTGAAGCTCGAAGCTAGAAGCTCGATCCTTGACACCTTCTCTAAATTCGCGCTGCCGCCTAAGGAGGGCCTCGAACAAGTCTGACCTGCTCCCCTGGGCGGTCTTCCGTGCCGCCGAAGCGGCGCTCCCTTCGGGGAGTGCCGAAGGGGGGTCGCCAGTAGGAGCGTCACTATCTCCTCTTGGCCGTCGAGGAACGAGGAGGGAGGGAGGCTCGAGGATCGAGGAGGTTCTGGACGTTGTAAGGCGTCCTGGGAATGTTCTGCTGGGGGGGCCATGGGGGCCGTGGGCCCGATTCCTGGACGAGACGGCGCGGCGCCCCCCGCAGCGGTGGCCCCCCCCTGGCACTGTCTGGTTTCTGATGGCCTGCAGGGCACTGGCTTGGGCGCAAGAGATGGCACATGAGACTGTTGGCGGCGAGCCCATGGGGGGGGGGAAGTGAGAAGGGGCGGGCCTTCCCGGAAGGCCCGGAAGTCCCCCGGCCTTCTGAGAAGTTCCCCATGCCCTCCCCGAAGACACCATTCTCGTCGTTTGCAGGCAGCGTGTGCGAGGCAAGGGGCCTCGGCACATGGCGGCACACACACACACACACACACACATACGCGACCCCGCTGCTCCCGTCGCTCTCCCGACCAACCGCTCCGTCGCCACCCTCTCTCCTGCCCCTGGCCCGCTTGCCCCCTCCCCCCCGCACCTCACTGGGTATGGAGCCGCTCAAGAGCACCAAAGAAAAACGAAATGAGACGACGGAAACTCAACATCGCCTCAAAATCGGTCTCCAGACCCATCCCGGGTCCAAACGCATCAGTTTCCCGGGCTGCGTCCACCCGCGGCGACGAGGGGGCCCCCGAAGGCCACCTGCCGGCGTCTCACGCGGCCCTCCGCCGAGCGCGCCTCTCCTCGCGGATCTGGGCGATCTCGCGGTTGCGCGTGAGGAGCGACTGGCGCGGCTCCATGGGCAGCGACGGCCTCGGCTCCATGGGCACCGACGGCCGTGGCTCCATGGGCAGCGACGGCCGGGCCTCCATCGGCGGGTCCGCCATGGCGGCGGCTGCCGACAGGGGCGAGGGCGGCAGCTGGCGCGGCGGCAGGCGGAGCGGCGGAGGGACGGGGGAGGCGGCGGGCGGTTGCGCGTCGGGGGTGGGCGGCATCGTGTTGTCCCTGACCAGCTTGTCGGTCAGATGGCTCCAAGAGGGCCCCCCCGATGCGCTGGGCCAGGGTGTGCCTCAAACTGGCCCAGAATTCCGGAAGATTGCTCAAGATAGCGTCCGAGATATCTCCAGGAGGTCCCAAAACAACCCCAAGCCAGCTCCAAGTGCCGCTGGAGCCCCCCAAAGCATCCCCAAAGAGAAACGCATCCTTCCAAAACCTACAGAAATCAATGATTTGTGCATTATCGCCTTTCCGTTTCCGATGGGCCTCTGAGGCCTCAAGATTTCGGGGGGGGGGCTCGAATTAGCCGCCCCTTCCTTTTTTGAGCCACGTGGTCCAAGATCGTCCCCAGAGGTCGCCAAGAGCCGTCCACATAGCCCCAAGAGGGCCCGACGAGGGCCCAAAAGGCTTCCAAGATGGCTCCAAGAGGCCTCTGAGGACTCCGAGAAACTCCCATGACGCTTGCGGAGCGAAAAATCCGCGACAACAGACGTTCCCGCCCCTTGATTGCCCCCGCAACGCCTCCAATGGGGCCTGAGATAGCCCCAAGAGGGCCAGGATGGCCAAAGAACATCTCCACGACGGCCCATCGTGGCCACAGCGCGCGAACAGATTTGACAACATTCAACATATCTTACCGCCCCAATTTGGGCCCCAACCACGCCTCCAAGACGTCGGAGCTAACCCAAAGAAACAAGGATGGCACGAGCGAAGCCCAAGACGGCCCACATGGCCGCCGCCGCCGCGGCAGGGGAACATGTGTTGAATCGTTCGGCATATGTTCCCGCCCCCTGTCTTCGCTCTCGCCACGCCTCCGACGAGTCTGAGATGCGCCAGGGACGCAAAATTGGCAGGAGCGAACCCCAAACGCGGCCCAATATGGCCGCCGCGGGATGGAAACTTTTGTTCGAAAATTCAACAAACATGTTCCGCGGCGGATGGTTTAGTGTCACCGCGTGCTCAGTCTCACCCTTCATCATGGCAGCACGCCTGGGCATCATTTCTGAATGGATTCGGTGTTCCATCGATCCTTCTCGGCGGCTGTTTCAGTGAATTCTCTTACCGCTGCCTGGGCAAATGAACTCGCCTGGCGATCGTTTCTCGATTGCCTGGTGGGGATGCGCGAAGCGTCACGAATTCCTCTCGCCGGTGCTTCAACGTGGTTGGGTTGGGTTCCCGGTTTGTGTGCCGGGCGGTCGAGCTCGACCGATGACATGCTGCGCCAGGTCCGAAAAGTAGGACGCCCAAGCCTGCCCCGACTCCCAAACATGCGATATCTTGCCATGTTCCATACGCGGTTCCTGGAAGCACTGACCCTTTCCACAATGCCAACGTGACCCGAATTCTCTTTGACGGTCCCTGGGCCCGGCGAGGACGAAACGAGCCAGACACAGCCAGTCGTGTTTTTTGTTGCACGACGCGAGCATGCCTCGGATTCCTTCCTTGGGCAGTGTCCCTTCAGGGCGTGTGCTGCCCACACCTCGCACGTCTCGCACACCTCCTGTGCCCGCGCGTGCTGCCCACACCTCGCACACCGCTGTCGTAGGTGCCCGCGCGTGCTGCCAACACCCTGCACACCTCCTTCGCGGGCCGTGCACACCGTGTGCCGCCCAGGCGTGGGCGCACGGTGCCTCTCTCGCGGGCCCGATCTGGCCCTCAAGGGTTTTAGGTTGTCTGCGGCGGGGCCGTGTGCGGCCGAGCTCCGTGCGCACGGCCCCGTGCTCGCCGGGTCTAGCAATATCCGCTGCTCGTGCTCCAGCCGCTGCAGCTCCAGGTCCAGCTCGTCCTTCTGAGGCAAGCTCAGGTGGTCGACAATGACTTCGTCGTCGGACGCTTTCAACTTGTCGAGCTTCTGAACGAGCAGCCGCACCTGTCCCCCGTCGGGTCGGGGTGCTCCTTGGACAACCCCCGGTGGTGCGAGAGGACGAACCTCTGCTTCGCCCCTTTTCCAGACAAGCGGGAAACCTCGGCTGCCCACGAAAACCTGGTCGGCCGGCACCCCCTGGACCAGGTCATGACCGCGCCAACTGCGCCAAACTCGTTCTGCTAACCCCCCTCTTCCCTTCCGGATATGGGCCTCCTCCTCCCGCTGCTCTGGGGAAAGTAGCACGCCTGCCACGCCCCGCGACCCTGAGACGGATAGGGACTGCGGTGACGAACCACCCCCGCGCACCCCGTGTGGCATGTGAAACACCACGCCTGCAACGCCCCGCGACCCTACCCTACAACGGATGGAAACCGCGGTGGGGACCACCCTTGTGGCGTGGAGAAAGCGCCACGGTTGCCAGACCCCGCGACTCTTAGACGGATAGAGACCGCGGTGAAGGACAACCCCCAGCGCACAATATGCGACGTGGATAAAGCACCACGCGTGCCACGCCCCGCGACCCTGAGACAAATAGAAACCGCGGTGACGGACCACCCCCTGCGCATCCCTGTCGTGTGGACCAAATGGCACGCCTGCCACGCCCCGCAACCCTGAAACTTCCCTAGCGTTGTGTGCCTTGTGCGCGGTTGTACATGGGCATGTCTGGTTGAAAATATGTGGTTTGTTTGTGGGTGTACATGTGTGTATGCACATGGTGTACGGACAAAGTGGCAGATTTTTCCCAACAAATAACGGCCGTTACCCGGGTGGGGGACAAGGCTTTGGGCGGGAAGGTATCGGTAACGGCGGCCGCGGCGTGCGCCCGCCAGTGTGCGCCCGCGCCACCAGCGCATCAATCGCTTGTTTACACGACGATGCCCAATGCCTGCGTGCAACACAGCGCCACCTTTGTACACATCACGTTGCCTCCGTACACGACAACAAACGCGTGCACTGCAGCACCGCGTCGCCACCCATGAACACGGCAGTGCGTGTGTATACTGCAGAAACCGTGGTAAGAACAGCTTTTCTACAGACAACCACTCATATTAAAAAGTGCAATTAAAAAAGAAACCCGGTGGACAATGGAGCACCTCTGGATTCTATTGAATTCATGTTTTTATAGAATCTGCACAAAAAAACCATTGCTTGATAAAGGACTACCACTGGAAATTGGGGCGCCTCTGGATTCCACAAACAAAACGAACGTGTTTAATACACGTTTTGTCAAAAACTTGTGTGAATTGGAACGCCTGGAGATTTTACACGCGTGAACCACAACGCGTACACCACAACGCCGGCGTACACCACAACAGCCGCGTGCAACACAGCGCCGGTGTACACCACACTGCCTGCGTGCATCACAACGCCCGCTTACACTACAGCGTTTGTGCACACCGCAGCAACCGTGTGCAACGCAGCGCCGGTGTGCACCATACTGCCTGCGTGAACGGCAGCGCCTGCGTAAACCACAGCGCCCGCGGGAGAAGGCGCGGGGCCACCCAGTCTTCATCTTCTCCATGGCGCTGGGCCTACAAACGGTACGTGCAGTAGGGACGGGTGGTAAGGACGCAAAACCCTTGCAAGCCGAAGCTGGGACTGTTTGCAAAACCTGGCCAGTGTGAGCGGCAAAGGACAAGCCGCAGGGGCAAGGACGCAAGGGTACGCTGGAGAAGGAACGCGTCTTTGTCAGGCGCGTTGACTGTATCGCACTGCAACCGAGCACTGGCCAGAAGGTAGAGACAGAGAGAGCCATCGCATTAAACACTTGCGGAAGAGTGGTCGAACCAGCCTGCGGTATCTGAGCCATCGCCAGCTGCATGGGACGACGACGACGAAGACGACGACGAATACGACGACGACGATGACGACGACGATGACGACGACGACTGCGAGCGCTTCAACACATCTGTGAGCACCGATGCGTGCCGTTCAGACCACGCCATGCCTGTGAGCACAGCACTATAGCTGCGGGGGGTCCACTCCGAGCATGGAGAGAGGGGGATGGGACGAAACACCCCCTCCCCCACGGCACGATCGTTTTGAAGTTACCCGAGGGTGGGAGGGTTGGCCCGGGTAGCGAGCGTTACGCCGGAGAGGAAAAAAAAAGCTCACCAAAGAGGAGGGGGGGAGAAGGAACACGAGTGCGAAGTGGGTGGGAAGGAAACAACACACCCACGAAACAGGCGGGGGAAAACCACGGCTCCAGGGGCTTGCGAGGAGAAGACTGGGGACGGGAAAGGGTACGGCAGCATCGCTGATGCATCCTGGGTTTGCTCTGGTCCTCCTCCTCCTCCTCCTCCTCCTCGCCGTGATCTTGCTCGGTCCTCCTCCTCCTCCTCCTCCTCCCCCTCCTCCTCCTCCTCCTCCTCCCCCCTCACCATCCTCAACCCTCTGGCCTGCCCCTGAGCTCCGGCCTCCGAGCCACCCTGGGCGTCGTCGCCCGCGCGCGCCAGGAGTAAGTCCAACGCCATTCGGCATGGGCGCTCTTGCGGCAGGGGGCAACCGTAGCGCGATGTGTGTTCTGTGTGAGCTGTGTGTGTTCTGTGCGGCGGCACTCCGGTTCTTCTTCCTGCGATCCTCTCGCAATGTACTTGTCGCGGCTCTCCCAAACTTGGGGACACGACGTGTCATGCATGACGGCCTCCCGTGTCCCCTCGATAACTCGCTATCCAGAAGGCTGGGCTGGCACAGTGGCGGGACTTGACGCAGGTAACTGCATAGGGATAGAGGGCTAGGGATAGGGAGACAGCGTGCGACAACGGGAAACATCGGATGGCAACGGGGAACAAGAGGGAACAACAGGAGACAATGGGTGATAACGGGAGACAGCGGGAGGCCATCGGCGCCCGATCGATTCTAGGTCCGTATCCGACGGCAATGTGTTTCAACAGGGCATTATACAAGGTTCTTGCAAAGACACTGTTTGGGACAAAACCAACTGGCCCGATTGCTCGGATCGACGCTGCGGACCCCCTGACGGCGCCTCTGGCGCGCTCCGCGCGCCAGGGGGGGGGGCAGCGCAGATCCTAAAAATCCGCGCTGACCTCCGAGCCTTTATGTTCCTGTTGTTGCTGATTCCCCTATGACATGTGGACGAGGTGAGCCAACACTACGAACTTGTTCGAAGCGTCTTGGACTCCTCGGCGCTGGCTGATCGATCTGGCTCAGGAAATCATGCAGAATCAAAGATTGGATTGAGAGCTGTGGCCGTTTTGAAACCTCGTGATTTGCTCGCGATGTCTGATACCGAAACTGCTGCGTTGACATTTCACCCGCAACCGCAGCTGCACGGTACACATGTTTTTTTTCAGGTGGATCGTGCTGGGGATCTGGTGGAGGACGATGGAAGCGGCAGCTAAAACAGAGGCAAGCGAGCGCCAGAACTTGATTTCAGAGGGAGCCTTGAACTCCCATCCACGGGCAACTGACCACCTCGCCAACCTTCCAATCACTTGCACCGTCGCCTCCTTCGCTGCGGCGGGCCAACCAATAGGCTCGGCCCAAGCCGCACAAGCCTCGCAGAGTGCTCGGGGGCTAATTCACCCGATGGGGTCCGAATTGGGGCGCGATTCACGCCGACGCTGCATCTTACCACGGGCCTCGGCAGTGCGAGCCGTTGAAGCAATTACACTGAAATCAGCGCGCGGCATGGCGCACTGCTTCGGAGCGAACAAGCTCGGGTGAGACATACTACTCTTCCATGCACGTGAGAAAACTGGGCAAACACTTCTCGAACTCATGGCCTCTTTCCGCAATCATACTACGCCTATTGAGCACGGCTGACGGCCCTAGACGCCGCGTCTTCCTGCAAACAGCTGCGGTGCATTAGTATGCGCCCAATGGCCACACAAGAAACTATGAACGCGTGATCCGCCGATGCCTCCTAGCTAGCTGAACCCATCAAGCATCATGTGCGCGTTTGAGCTTGCATGCGCATTCCACGTGCACGGCAATCCAGGAGAACCCAGAAGGCCCCCATGAAGTCTTCAGAGGCCCAGAAGGAGGCTCCCAAGAGCCTCCCCCCCCCCTCCAGAGGCCCCCAAGAAGCTCCAACATTGCCCTCAAGAGACCCCCGAGAGCGCTCCCAAGAGACCCCAAGAAGCATCCCTGAGGACCCTGGCCCGCAACCCAAGCACGGTGACGGGGTTGGCCGAGCGCCATTAAATACGGATGACAAATCCTGTCGCAGACATGTTCCTCACCCGTGCCCTCCCGACTCTTGTGCAAAGCGGCGGCGAACGCACGGCCCGAATGGGGGCGCGCGGCATATGGTGAGCCCAAACTGAAACGCAAGGGAAAAGACACCAGCAAACCGCTAGCCGAGGGGAGGAATAGGCGCGAGAAAACTGCGAAGAGGAGGAGCCAGCCGAACCAAACAAACTCTCTCTCCCTCTCGCAAACGCATGCACGCACGCCCGCGCACGCGCCAGCCCCACCCACCCATCCGACCCCCCCCCCACACACACGCACACACACGCACACACACACACACACAGACACACACACACACACACACACACACGCGCGCGCGCGCCTTTGGCGTCGCGGCCACGCGCGCCGCAGCGCGGCGGGTTCGGGCTAGAGCAGAGGAAGGCTAGCGGGCGCCAGCCAGTCCACACACACACACACACTTGCACACACAAACACATACACCCACGCACACACGCGCGGGCGAGCGCGCGTGAAGGCGCGGCCACATAAACGCAAACACACACCCAAGCGCGAGACCTCGCGCATACGCCCATGCGTGCCCGCCCAAGCATTTTCACACACACACGCACACACATATATATATATATATATGTGCATATATATATATATATATATATGTATAGTTGTGTGTATTCCCACCCGTACGTGAATACACACATTGCACGCGCGTATGTACATCCATGTACGTCCATGCGCGTACACAGGCGGCAGGACGGCATCATACGATCAGAGCTAATGCAACACGAAACTGAGGGCTGCTAGGCCCATAGGGGAACGAACAACTCTCGTAACCCCCATGCTGGCAGGTCAGCTTATTGTTCGACTGCTTGTGGGCGCAAACGCGTACTGTCAGACCTAGGCAAGAAGAACATCCTTCAAGCACATGAGACCCTCCGTCGGCCAAAACAACTAGAACATCCACGGATACCCTCCCCAGGATGCACAAGAACGTCCGAACCGACCTTGATCGCACCCTCCCCAAACCGACCTTGATCGTATACCTCGGTCCGACTGTGATACACGTGTACGATCATGCACAAAACCTGTACCGCCAATCGCAGCCGACGCTCGTTCAGAGCACGAGGACGGACCCAAAGTCCCGACTCGCACTACGAGGCGATGCTCCTCGAGGTGATCGAGACCATTCGCTAGACATGGCGACACTCGGCAAGGACCTGGCGTCTTCATCAGCCTGCGAATCCTGATCGTCATTGGCCTCCAAGGAGAAAAACGTGAATCCGCCGACCCCCTTGGGATCATGACTGCGTGCGACAGGCCACAGCCAAAATCCTGCTACAAAGAACCTTGAACAAAAGCAGTCTGCCGTGGTCGTCCTCGCCGAGTTCGTTCTCCGCTGCTGCTCTGCTGTCGCGTCCTCGAATTCTGTTTTTTGCCTTCCCTGCTCTTGCTCCTTCCTCCACTGGTGTATGCGCACTTGGCGACGGTTCGATTGCCTGGCGGTCTCGCCGCGGGTCCACGTGATCAAGGAGAAAGCACTCCCTGCTTCGGCCCCGACTTGTTCAAGCAAGCCAGCAAGAACACGAGGAAGGACCCGAGCAGCCCCGAGCCCCTTTCGATCCCGAAGTGGGGCAGTTCTCAGCGTCCCAAGGTTACGACTGCATGCGCCCCAGGGCCCCCTACACCCGCAGGCTGGCATGCGGGACGGCGAAAACGGGCCCTGGGCCCTGGGGCCTTATCCCCGGGACGAGTATTTCTCATCCCGAGCCGATGCGCTGGATGTCCTGGGCGGCCTGGGGCCCGGGCAAGGCCCCGCCGGAGGCAGACCAGAGACACAGAAGCACTTCCGGGGCTAGCTGCTCTTCCGGGACCCGCTCCAAAGGCCAACTCTTCTTCCAGGACCCGTCCCCTCCACATGCCCGCATCCACGAGGCCCACTCGAGCGCGGGGCGGCACCGCCAGCACGGCCTTCCCCTGCGAACACCCCCCGCCCCCCAGAGCGGCCCAGCATCCCGGGCCTCCGACGACGACGTGGTCTGTCGGCTACGCTCAAGAGTGACCCTGGGTAAGAGTGACCTTTGGTGCGCGGCTTTTTGTGACCGCGGGGGGGACAACAACAAGCGCGCAAGCCGCTGCTACCGCCTATCTTTCGGCCATCTGGGGGCCCATCTGTTCCCGCACCAAAGGTCACTCCGGCGAAAAGGTCACTCTCACTCGTAGTCGAGTCTGCTTGCAACGTGGGCCCCCGCCGAGCTCCAGGCCAGGCACTCCCGAGGGGGAGGCATCTCGTCGCGGGTCGCTTGTGTCGCAGCCACCCCCCAGAGCGGCCCAGCATCCCAGGCCTCCGACGGCGACGTGGTCTGCTTGCGACGTGGGCCCCCGCCGAGCTCCAGGCCCAGCCCTCCCGAGGGCACCAATGTGCGCACATGGGGTGCAATCGGAGGATTCTCTGAATGCCCCGACGGCTGCTACGTAGCGTTGGCTGAGGAGGAGGGGGAGAAGGAGGAGGAGGAGGAGGAGGAGGAGGAGGAGGAGGAGGGGGAGGAGAGGGAGGGGGAGGAGGGGGAGGAGGAGGAGGAGAGGGAAGAGGAGGGGAGGGGGAGGGGGAGGAGGAGGAGGAGGAGGAGGAAGAGGAGGAGGAGGAGGAGAAGGAGGAGGAGGAGGAGGAGAAGGAGGAGGGGGAGGAGCAGGAGGGGAGGAGGAGGAGGAGGAGGAGGAGGAGGAGGAGGAGGGAGAGGAGGGGGAGGAGGAGGAGGAGGAGGAGGATTCTCCCGCTCGCGCGCTAGCGAGCTGTCTCCGAGCGCGGCCGCGGCGTGCGCGCGCGGGGCGGCCCAAAATGGGCAGGCCCGTCCCGCGCGCTCATGCCGGGGCGCCGCGCGTCAGGCGGGGGAGTCCGCCTGCTCGCCGTCGACGGCGAGGCAGCGCCCATCAGCCTTAGATTGGGAGAGGAGGGAGGGGGGCAGAGAAGCTGCGGAGACAGCAGGAGCTTGCTCACAGAGAATAGAAGAGGCATTCTCCCGCTCGCGCGCTAGCGAGCTGTCTCCGAGCGCGGCCGCGGCGTGCGCGCGCGGGGCGGCCCAAAATGGGCAGGCCCGTCCCGCGCGCTCATGCCGGGGCGCCGCGCGTCAGGCGGGGGAGTCCGCCTGCTCGCCGTCGACGGCGAGGCAGCCATGCCCGTGCTCAAGGACCTTGCGAAGTGACAAGGTTTCGGCGGGCGGCCGCAAGTAGGGCAGGCCAAGCGGCGGGGCCGACTTGGAGAAATGAGGCGACAAGGCGGTCGCTGGCGGTGGCGAAAAACAGGATTCGCGCCCGTGCGGGCACGGGCAGCGCAGCAAGAACTGTGGAAGCGGCGGCGGCTTGCAGGTAGCGCTCAGCACTGGAAGCCTGACGCCAACGCCCCCGCCAGAAGACGCGAGGGACGTCTTCCGTAGCGATATAGAAGTCTGTTGCGCCAGAGCCCCGCAGACATGCGGGCGTCAGGTTGAGCCCCTGACCCGCTTTGGCAAGAGGGACGCCCAGGGCCGAAAGCAAATGATTCCACCGAGTACGGAAGCCGCTCGCACCGAAAGGGGCGAGAGGATCGGTGGAAGCCAACCGCCCAAACACTTGATTCAGAATCTTCACCGTGCCCCGATCGGAGCAGCGAGCATGCTGCGTCGGGTACGTTCTCCTGGTCTTTGGAACAAGAATCGAGAGAAAAGCATCCCCTTCAACTTCGAGGCGGTCGCAAGGAAGCGACAAGTCACAGCGGCGTGACGCCAGCAGCTCGCCAGGCCTGAGGAACATCGTGAAGCCCATGAGCAGCAAGGCCGCCATCACAGGCCAGTCCCAGGCGAAACAGAGACCGACCATAGCGCGCAGCAGAGCGCGAGGTAAGGGCGGGCGGAGCTTTGGCGGCTCCGCGAGCTTCCATTGTTTCGCTACGTCCCAAGCTTCTGTTAGAAAGGCCTTCCAATGCGGATGAGCGCTCTGGATTCCCAAGATGGCATGAACCAGAATATAATGAGGGAAACCTGCATCATGAAGCCACACGCCGAAGGTCGCGAGGAAACGGGCGAGAAGTATCCCGCTACGGTAAAGAGTGGCGGGCGGCACGCCAGTGTGTTCTGCTAACCACAGTTCGAACGCATCAATCGATCTCGAGCGACGATCGAGATACGCGGAGGTGAGGTGAGAATCGCGCACGAAGGGAGTGCGCGGAGGGCGAGCGGGCGCGGAAGGCGCAGCCCGACTAAGCCCTTGGCCTGCGGTCGGCGCCGCGGCTCCCAGAGAGATGCAGAGGCCGCAGACGCACCACAGGATGAGCGCAGGGCGGCCAGGGCTGGGAGAGCTGATCAGCGTGGCGGCCCTCCTGCTCCTGGACGCGTAGAAGGGCGGAACGAGGGTGTCCCGCCCGTCGGTCTCGAACCCCGACGCCTCCGCCAGCATCGCCCGCGCCGAGCTGAAGGATCCGCCCATGTTACGGTGAGCACGGCGAGCCCCTGCTTCGATCTCGGCGGGCAGAGCGCCCCCTCCCTCGAGGGTCGCCCAGTCAAAGGGCGGGCGCGGCTCGGCGCGCGCAGCTGCGGCCGATTCGGCGAGCTCGGAACGAGCTGCCGAGGACGTGAGGCCCGAATGATGAGAAACGGGCACCACCTCCGCGAACGCGTCGAGGATCTCGGACGGAGGGGAATGAGATCCCCACAGCGCTGCTGGGATGGCGCCGTGATCGTCCTGCACGTGGTACAGAAGGTCGAAAAGGCAGGCCAACTTGCCCGCGCGCCTCCTGTGCTCGATCTTGGAGCCGAGCCCGATGCCACGGATGGCGCCCGCCCCCATGGCTTGGAGGTCAGCGCCCCCGGGGATAGCCTCGGGCTCGACGACGGCCACGTAAGGATGCAACCACGAGGCTTCGTCGATCGGCTCGGCGCCGCCTGTCTGAAACAGGCGCTTATAGGCGTGCAAGGCCTGCAGGAGGCAGTGCAGGTCATCTCTGCCCTCGGGCTCGGCGGCCCCTGCGGGTGCGAAAGACCTCAGCCACGACGCCGCGCTCTGGAAGGCAGCTTGCCAGGCGGGTCCCCACCTCACCACTGTGACCTTCTCACCGCCGAGGTTGAGACGCCACGCTAGGGCGGTGGCGGCCCCTGGAGGCAAGGGCTGCTCAACGGCCGCGGAGGCCGTGCGCCGCGCTGCGAAGGCTGCAGCCGCGGCGCTCCCAGCGTCGCCGCTGTGGGAGCCGCTGGGATGCAGCTCGTGCCCTGAATCTCGGCCAGGCGCGGGGCCGCTCGAAGACCCCCTTTCCTCGGCGGCACGCCCTCCGCCCTGCGGGGCCGCAACAGCATCGCTGGAGGAGCGCGTGCCTACCGAAGACTGAGGGGCCTGAGCAGCGGAGTCCGCGCGGGAGCTGCCTGCGTGGGCGTCGCCCGAGCTCGCACCATGGCGGGACGTGGCTGGCCGCTGCGCAGTAGCGGGGCTCGGGCGCCGCTTCGGAGCGACTCGAGGGGAGCGCACCTCGCGACGCCGAGGCGACGTCGCCTGACGCGAAGGCGCGCGAGAGGAGCCGCGCGCGACGGCCCGACTAAGCCCCTGGCCTGCGGCCGACGCGCGGGATCGCGACGCCGCACGCCCACCAGAGTGGTGAGGGGGCGGCGGCGGCGGCGGGGGCACGGGCCGCGGCGTCTCGGAGCCTACACGCGTGCCGCGGCCCCGAGAGCGGCTGCGAACCGAGGCGTGAGCGGCGGGCGGAGAGGCCCCCGAGCGGCGAGGGAAGGCCGCCTGCAGGCGGCGGAGGACCTCGGGGTTCAGGCCCGCCACGACGCGCTCGAGGTCCATCGAGGAGTCTGCGAGGGCACTCAGCACGACGTCCTCGAGCTCCGTCGGAGAGTCCTCGTCGCACGCGGGCTCCGCTCTCGAGCGGCTGCGAACGCTCGCGGGCGGGGACCCGTCAGGAGTGTGCGGGCCCTCCGATGCCTCCCCCGCAGGCGGCTCCGACGGCTCCTCGGGCGGGATCGGGCCGTCGACGGGAGGCGACGAGCAGCCCCCCGAGGGAGAGGTGTGGTCGGTCCCGTACGGGTTTGGAGACCGCGTACGGCTGCGGGCAGGGCTGCGGCTCCGCGGTGGGGAGCCCACTCCCGCGGCGGAGCTGGGGCGTGCCGCGCCTGCCCAGCGGCGCGCATTGGCAGTGCGACGCGCCCTGCGGCCAGGCGCCGTGGCGGCCCCCCCCTCAGGGGCGGGGAGCGCCGCCATCGAAGCCCGCCGCTGCCTGGCGGCGCGCCTGGTGCGCGCGGCGCCCGTGCGCGAGGCGGAGTGCGG